AAAGTATTGCCAGGTTTCAAAGCCTCGGTACCAAAACGTGAACAAAAATGCCTTATTTATAACTCATATTGATTGCATGTGGGGATGAAAAATGATTTGTATATTGGTTAAATAAAATATGGAATTCATTTCACCTGGTTTTAATGTGGCTGGCAGGAAGTTTTCAATTTTTAATCACATATTTGGTCCATGTGTGATTTCTGCTGAGCAAGAACTCTGCTCTCCCTTGGAACCATGCACATGGCCTGCCCACGTGGTTCCAACAGTGTTTGCTGAGTGAATAAATGGATGGGTGGGCAGGTGGATGGGCAGGTGGGTAGATGGATAGGTGGACAGGATAGGTAGCTGGAGGTTAGGTGGGGGTGGGGGATTGGCTAGATGGACACATAGATGGATGGATGCATAGGTGGATGTGGATGCGTGGATGGATGAATACATGCATGGGTAGATGGATGTATGCCTGGGTACGTGGGTTCGTGGATACATGCATGGGTGAGTAGATAGATGAATGGATAGACAGGGAGTGCCTGGGGTCAAATGCCTCCCATTGCCCTGACTCTGCTTAACTATAGCACAACTGTGCCCTGGCCCATGGTAAACAACTTGTCAAGCCCACCTGAGCCACAGCTCCCTCCTCTGCGTCTGACCCAATGGAGTCATGTGACATCCCCATTTCTGACCTGCGCTAGAAACTGTGAGAAGAAATCAAGGTTTGCAAACACTCTCCCAACCCATGCTGAAGACCTGGTGCCCTAGAGACAAAGGGGCTGCTGGCCCCATCCTGCCCTGCACCCCTGTGCCCCCCGCCCCCGTACTCCCAATCCCCTCCACATCGAGGGGCATTCAGGGGCTTTGCTTTCTTTCATGGCCATTCCAAGGCAGCGTCTAGGCCTCTAAGCCTGAGGACCAAGCAAAAGGCCAACTCAGCTGGGCAACTCGCCGCCCAGCCAGAGTGAGCAGGAGGGACTAGGGGTAGTTTCCAAGAGACGCAGAGTCCAGTTGATCGGCAGAGCCGCGGGTCCTGTGCACTCCGCGAGGTGGTGCTGCCCTCTGGTGGTAGAGAGGGGTGCTGACCGCTGACACCGGCTAGAACCATGTCCAGAGCGTCCTCCCTGGTCCCAGGTGTACTCCAGACGCCCGGTAGGAATGATCCAGCTTGCAGCTCACAAGAGCCCCTCTGAGCTTCTAGAAGCTGAGCAGAACGGGGCTGTGGTGAGTCTAGGAAGCATCCCGCTCCTAGCAACACTGCTTGGTACTTCTACCAGGTGTCGTCCCGGAACCTCAAGGAAGCAACGCTGGCCGCAGGATACAAAGAGTTCATGACGTGCCTCTTCCCTGCAAAACGGTTTCCTCCGACGCCATAATCCACAGAATTCAGCGTACAAAGGCAGTCATCAGCCCAGGTTGGAATAATTGAGTGCCACCTACTGTCACCTCTGAGAATCGCAGCCCAGCTTGACGGGCTGTTACAGGAGTCTACCCAAGGGGGAGTGGGGAGGGAGCCGCTGGAACTTCTCCAGCCCACAAGGGGCTGGTACAACCAGCAGGAGGCAACTACCAGAGGTTGGCAGTTATCTGCCAACCCCCCAGGGCCCCTCTGAGCCCTCAGTAGGCGCTGGCCGTGCTGCTTGTATTGGCTGTCAGGCCTGCCTCGAACATCCTGAACGTTCTGGCCAAACCAGTCATCTGATGTCTGTCTACTGTGCCAGGCGGGGTCTCGGTTCCCTTCCCAACAGGGTGGTCCCTGATGCTGGCTGGAGAAATGATGGAAAGCTTAGACAGACAGCTCAGACCGTCAGCCTTTTGCCCCTCAGTCCACTTCCTCCTCAGGATTATCGTTTTGTCAAATATCTTTTTAAATTGTTTATTATTTTTAATAACTTTATTTGTATAAGTGTTTTCATGTCCAGTGTGTTTGGTGGGGGGGTGCCTGCGAAGGCCAGAAGATGGCCACAGAGACCGAGACCCAGCCACCATGTGGGTGCTGGGAGTTGAACCCTGGTCCTCTGGAAGAAGAGCAAGTGCTCTTAGTCCCTTGAGCCACCTCTCCAGCCCCTAAACTGTTTGTTTTTATCGTACGTATACGAGTGTTTCGCTTGCCTGTTATGTAAGCGCACCTGTGTTGCGCAATGCCCACAGAGGCCAGAAAAGGGCATTGGATCCCCTGGAACTGGAATTATAGACAGTTGTTAGCTGCCATGTGGTGCTGGGAACCAAACCTGAGTCCTTTGCAAGAGCAACCAGAGCTCTTAACTGCGGAGTCACCTCCCCAACCCCTCAAATATCTTCTGTTACTAATTAAAATGCCACTGTGTGTGTTGTCCAAAATTCACCTGATTTGTATATACTGGCAAATTCTTGGTTCCCTTTCCAATGCGCTTGTCCTCACACAGGGCCTCTGGTGCGTCACAGCCTTCCATGATCAGCTGGCCCTCAACCCCCTGAGAGGTCTCCACCCGCTTGCCTCAGGACCCTGCGAGCCCAGTGGGTCAGCCTTCACCCTGTGCTGTGCTGATCTGCATCCCAGTCTGCCCCACGTACTCACACCATGGACACTTCAGGCCCTTGTGCTGTGGCCCTTTGATTCTGAATACTCTCAGGTTTGTCAGCGGGTTCTGCGCATGCCAACATGGCGTCCAGAGAAAGGACTGTGGTAGGAAAGGCCAGTGGGGAAGGATGAAGAAGGCTGGAGGGTCTCTGGTTCTCCATCAAGCAGCCACCTGCAGGCAAGCAGTCCCTCCCTGTGTCTCCCTCCTACTGGAGCCAGGGCCCTGGTATGACCTAGAGGCTAACCTGAGAAGGGGACGCAGGGCAGGGAGAGAGCAGTGAAGAGGGCGTGAGCCAGCCCCAGGGCCTCGCTCTTCCTCTCCACACCCCAAAGCACAATCTCTCCTCCTCTCTCTGTCCCTCCTGCCATCCATCCCTCCCCTCCCCACACACTTTGGGATGAACAAAAGCATGGGTGCTTGGGGCAAAGGCAAGTCCTTATTTATAAGAGCCAGAGTAAGGGCCAACATGGTGGCACATGCCTTTAATCCCAGAATTCAGGAGGCAGAGGCAGGCAGATCTCTGTGATCTACACAGTAAGTTCCTGGTCAGCTGGGGCTACATAGGAAGACCCTGTCTCAAAACAGACAAAAAAGAGCCAGGGTATCTGAGAGAAGGCCTTTCCATCAAGAGGCTGCTCTCCACTGAGGAGATATGTAGGCAGGAATTTGTGGAAATAAGCTTTTTTAACCTTAGAATGGTTTTAGGCTTGCCGAAGATTTGCAGACAGCAGAAATCCTCCACACAGTAGTATCCCTCATCCTTCCTCCCTCCTCCCCTCCCTCCTTTTCCCTCTTCCTCCCCCTCCTTCCTCCCTTCATTCCTCCCAACCGACCGTCTTCATCACATCGTGGTGC